AGGGGAGGGTAAAAGAAAGGGGTCAGAACAAGGAAAGAAGGAATCAGAATGGTCTATGGTGGTGGGCTATGGTTTGGTGGTAGGTTCATAATGGTGGCAAAATCTGATGGGGTATACAAATGTTACCTCAATTAAAAATAAACTTGAATAGGGCCCTCCCTGTTGGTGTAATGGGTTAAAGCACAGCACTATGAAGCTATCACAGCCACTGCAGCACAAGTTTGATCCCTGACCGGGGAGGTGACCCACATGGCATGGCAGACCTCTCCTGACCCACCTGCTGCTGCCCTCAGTAGTGTATTTCAGTGTATCTGTCTATTCTGCTCCCCACTCTGTCTTTGGTGAATCCTCTTGCATCCCCCTCCCCCCACACACCTCTGGCCTGTACCCTAGTTCTGTATGCATACATAAATAAATCTTAAAAAAATAACAAAAAATAAACTTGAATAAAAACATAAACCTAAGGGGAAAAGGTTAGTATGGCCCCCATTCTTGCTCCCGTCTCCTTGTACAGTGGCAGAAAGCTATCCTTGCTCTGAGGTCTATTGTCATTTGGAAGGTTGTGATAACACCATTAGCTCATGGAAATTTAGTTAGGACCACTCCCTCCTTCCAACCCTTTTCAATCTTAGGTATCTACTACAAAGAGCCAAGTAAGCGCATCTCAAAACAACACAACTTAAAGGATGTGACCTAGAAATGCCATAGGTTCAACAAGGTTTAGTTCTGAAAGAGAAGAAATGCTGTATCATATCTCCTAAGAGACCAACTGCAGCACACCCCTGTTCCCAGGTCACTCATTTTCCTGTCTTGCTCTCTGTCCCTGATTTTGTAGCTTTGCTTGTTTCTTGAGACAAATTAATTATAAAGACTAGCCAGAGACCAGAGAAGTTAATTCCCACGAGTGACTATCCTCATTCATGGCTCATCACATATCCAATCATGATCTACTAAGCACAGAAGCTACTGAAAAGTCTCACATACTGCAAGTTAGCCTTTAAGGCCCAAATTTCAGTCATCCAACAAACATTAATGAAGGTGCTCAACAAATACTTATTAATTATTCTCAACCCTAGAAACAACAGTGTTAAGGGGTTAAGTCTCCGCACTATGACTCTATCCACAGCCACTGCAGCACAGATAGCAGGTCAGAAAAATGAGTCTGACCTGGGAACGGGGGTATGTTGCAGAGCACACACCCAAGGAGCCCTCTGATGTGCAGAGGAAACTGGTAAACAGATAAATTACAATAAAACATGAGTGCTATTTTAAAAATTATGTGCAATGTTGTTTGGGGCAGGAGTTCAAGAAAGACTTTAGGAGTGACTTGAGTTGGATTTGAAGATAAATAAAAGTTCACCATAGGGAAAGGAGCTAGACCAGATGAGAATCTCAGAAAAAAGGGACTTACGGGCCTCTCTGGTGGAGCAAGGGGTTAAGTCTTAGCAGTATGAAGCTATCTACAGCCACTGCAGCACTGAGCCTGACCACTGCCAGGGAGATCACCCACATGGCGCAGCAGACCTCTCCTGTCCCGCCCGCTGCTCCCCTCAGCAGTGTACTTCAGTCAATCTGCCTGTTCTGCTCCCCACTCTGTCTCTGCTTAATCCTCTCATCCCCCCACCTCTGGCCTACACCCCAATCCTTATATGCAAATCTTATACGTAAATCTTAAAGAAAGAAAGGGGATTTTGCTCAAGGGGCATAGTGAAGTCAGTGTAGAGGAAACAAAGTGCTGAGACCAGAGTTACTGAGTTTCTGTCCTAGCTGGTGCTGGATCCCCAAACACCCTCATTGATAAATATGATGATGTTATACGTTAACAGTAAGTGAACCCAGACTAGCATACAATCAATGTCTCACCCACCCATCCATCCATATTTTTACTGTGACTATTATGTGCATTTTGGTGCCACAGACACCACCACTTTGTTTCTAGTGTTGAGAATAATTAATATTTGTCGTGTGAATGAATGAAGATCTTGTGTCTTGTAAGGCGATGAACAGAATTTTCACAATGCCTCTCCCAGTAGAAAGGCAGGGAGGGATTGCTTCAGTCACCTGAAGAAAAGTCAGTCCATTCTTCCCAGTAGTCTTTCCCCCCAAATCTATGTAGGGTAGGGTAAATCACAGGACCCCAAATAATGATCATAAACCTTGTATTTGCATAATATATTTAGTTTACTTGTATCAACTTACTTAAAATAAAATTACAGTAGTAAATCTAAAGATTTTCATCTCTTGTCTGAATCCTATGTTTAGGTGTATTCAGAAATTCTTATTTCTGGAGTTGGGCTCTCACGAGCCTCAACCTAGGGAAGCTCAGAAATTAACTTAAGCAACTACCTCAGGCCCTCACCACATGTGCCCCCAAGTTACTCTTTCATCTACTCCTACAAAAATCTAAAGAGGGGATGGACAGAAGTAAAGGTATGAGGGCTTTGTAAAGGTGTTTCCTTATTTAACTTCCTAGCTTACAAAATTACTTTGCAAAGTTACTCTCTTGCCTCAATTTAATTCAATTCAGTTTAATTCCATATCTACTGAGACAGGTGCTCTAGGTTGCAAGGGTGTTAAAGTATACTCATTCTGAATCCCTGGGCTGGGAATCAGGAAATCAAATGTTTTACCAGTGAGTTTGTGGAGCGAATTACTTCATTTCTTTGAGCATCAGGTTGTTCCTCTGTAAAAGGAAGGGCTTAGAAAGAACAACCTCAAAGTGCGTCCCAGCTCTCACAGCCTATAATTCTCAAAGCAGAAACAATATTGATAACATTTTAACTCTTTCTGTAGCTCAAAGGCAGTATTTTAGAGTTTTTTCCCAGAGGATTTCTTTGGCTTAGCAAACTGTCATGGGCTTTCTAGAATATAACTATAGAAGAAAGTGGGAAATAAAGCACATATCTTTATTCACTCAAAAATATGTATTGAATGTTTATTATGTGGAAGGGACTATTCTAGTCACTACTGTAGCAAGCACCGAACAACGCAAATAAGCTCATCCTTCTGAAGGACCTGGCCTCCCAGGGCTTCAGTCCACCTCTACAACAAATAAATCTTTGGATTGCTTTGGACAGCAGAAATAGTGATCTAATGGGTTTATTGGATGTGTGTGACTTGTGTGTGGCTATCTTTGAATTATCAAAAGATGAAAACTGCATTAAAAAATACTGTTCTTCAGTTTCTCCACTGATCAGGCAAATAACTATGTAGATTTTCTTATCACTTAAAAAGAAGTAAGTGCTGGTTTGTGAGTTGAGTAAGATATATTCATACATGAATTCCAGTAAAAATTTCATGCTAAATAAAAGGGCTTAAACATTTCCTGAGCACTAGAACTTAATTTCCTTTTTTGAGGAGCACTAGAACTTAGTTTTCTTTTTTGAGGAATTACTCTTTAAAATGGGGTTTTAGACACAAAAGAGAAAGCACTTCTCTAATCTTTTGCAGACTGATGGATCTGCAACAGGAACACTTGATAACTGTCTCTCAGAAAAAAACCATCTTTGTTCAAAGCTGTAAAACAAGCAAACAAACAAATAAAATAAAAATCCAACAAACCTGTGGGTGGAATTAGATCTAGATGGATAAACTATCACAGGGTATCCCGTTTAAGTATGTATTGACACAATTTTTCAACTGGAGGAGACTTGGCCCTCAGTTTAAAAACAAGAAACCTGAGATTCAAAAACACAAAGTGACTTGGCCAAGCAAAGCCAAAATACTTGTTAGCAGCAAAGCTGTAATAAGAATCCAGCCCTGCAGATTCCCTATTCGAGAATCTAATGTTTTCGGTACATTAACTGAGAATTTGAGCAAGTCAAGGCTAGAGAGAGGGCACCCTTTATGGTTGACTAAGTGTAAGACCCTTCTTAAGTGTAAGATGTGTCTCCAACAAGCAAAATCTGATATTACTTATGAAGAGTTTAGATAAATTTATGGATGAAACATCTATAAGATCTTTCCACTTAGAAACAGGTCATATTCAAAATCTCTTTTATAAGCAGCCTATTCAGAATTGGGAATCCCTTTCCCCATCAAAGAAAGCAAACAAATTGTGAGCTTTTTAACTGGGCATGGTTGAAATGATGAAATGGTATTCCAAGAAGCACCCTGAATCAACCAAACCCTTCTTGAGTCCTGGAATTGCTGGAGTGGCTGGACACTTCGAGAGGTCAGTAGAGACTCAAGCCGCCAACCAGGGGGGTAGGTTCCTAAATCTCAGATGCCTAAGTCAGAGACAGTTTATGTTAAAATAATTTAAGAGTATCTAAAAACATACTAAACTTTCTGAAGTCGGGAGCACAGATAACCCATTTGAGTATGAATTATGTCTTACCCCAAAAAGTCTCTTGGGCGCAGTGGGAGAAGCCACTAATGCCAGAAAGGTCTGCACCTGAAATCCTGGCTTTTCTAGAATCAGAACTTAACGCTTTTAGGGAGGAGGTTGAGTTCAAGAAAAGCCATCAAAGCGCACTTTCCACTCCAGAAGCGCCTCCCCAATTTTTATCGGATTTCTCCCCCTACGTGGATTCCTAGCGTGAGAATAACCTGCTAGGTAGTGCATTGCTGATGCTTATACGCTCCCAGAAAACTTTTCAGAACATTCACCTCACTGACAATTTGTAAATTAAGTGTGGATTTCTATCCATCGAAACGGATAGGGTATCGATGCAAGCAGAAGCTGTCAATTGGGATGAGCAGCTTGATTTCCCTTGGACCTCCAGGCGGCTTCAGATGAACCCGTGGTCCTCACAGGGTCCCTAAGTACATCAAATCCCGTTCTCAAATCCTGGCATCGGGGCTGACGGTTGTGGTTAAAGGAACGCCTCAAGGTTAGGGTTTTCTCCAATCCCAAGAGGTCTCGAGGGGAGGGCGTCTGGTTTGGGGGACCCAAAGGAGACTTGACTGGGGGAGGCCCGGGTGCGCACGCCCCCCCGGGCCGGCTCTCGGAGGCCCCCAGGCGCGCTCCCCGCCCTCCCTGAGCCCGCCTGGCTCACCGAGGTGGCCGCCGACGACGGTGACGGCTATCTGGTCCATGAGCACCGCCCGGAAGCGCACGTCCTGCTCGGAGCAGCGCTGGCGGAGGGCGCGGAGGATTTGCACCTGCGGGTAGTCTTCGCGGATGCGCCGGTCGGTCAGGAACCAGAGCTGGGAGCACATGGCGGCCTGGGCGGCGGCGCCCGGCGCGGCGCTGACCCCCTCGACGCCCCGGGGCGCT